GTGGGGCTCCCAGAAGGGTCTGCTGTGGGTCCCTCATCCCAGGAGCACAGACAGCAGCCCCAGCACCAGCCAGCACCGCCACCGACAGCCGCGATTGGAGTATAAAGTCACAACTGTTGGCGTGGCGGCTGCTGGCAAAATTGCATCAGCTAACGCCGCTTTAATGGTCTCTAATGATGTGATAAGAAATAATGGAATTTATCTGACAGCTACACAACCATTAACAAAACACATTAAGCACAACTAGCGCTTCCATAAAAATGCAGATGACGTCTGAAAGGGGCAGCCCGTGTGGCCTGCCCACCTCTCCCATCCCAGGACAACCCACAGCGAATGCGCTCGGACGCAAACCGCTTGTCTGTGCTGTCCAGGTCCTGCCCTGCGCTGACCCCTGCCCCTCTCTGCAATTCCGGCAGGGCACGCCCACGCCTGCATCAGTCCTGTGAGCTGGCACATGTGCTAGGCGTGTGTGGGTGAGATTCTCAGGACACATGGGCAAGGCTTGTATGCTTGAAGGGCACAGCACCCACCACAGGTATGCACGTGTGCACACACGCACACACACACGTGCACACAGTAATTCAAGACCCAGGGTGTGGTGCGGACTCTACGCGGCGGGACGGGGGACTTGAGAGGAGGCCGTGGAGCCAGCAAGGATCAGACTTCATCTCTGAGACACAGACGGGCCTGAGAAGGGCAGGGGCCAGTGAGCGGCCTGGGAAGGAGCTTCACAGAGAACCATCCAGGACCCTGACGGGCAGACAGGAATAGAGCCGCCGCGGGCCCACGCAGTTTGGAGACACACAGTCCCCTGTGCTCAGGGCTCGAGCGTTTACAGTAATGAGAGCGTAAGTCACGCATAACAGTCGGTTCCCAGAAACCACAGCGGTCCCAAAGTCACCGCAGCCTCCATGCACGCCCTGGAAACCACCCTCCACCCAGCTGGAGGGACTTTTCAACAAATTAACCAGAAAACTGTAGACTCGTCAGGGGCACCCAGCACTCAGGAGGGACCACGCTCCTCCGGAGCTTCGGGCCTGTCCCCACTGCATCCTCTCCCCACCCGGACAGCTGCCCCTCCCTCTCGCACCCCGGTCACCGGGCTCCCGCTCACTGTTCACTTCTCTCCCCAGGAGCAGGAGCTCTGCCCGCCCCAGCGTGGGGAAGAGAGCGAGTGGCGCTGGGTAGGTACCTGCTGAATTAAAAACCCCGTGTGTAGGCCGCCGGATCCCAGCTTGGAGCAGATGACCAGCCTCCGCTCCTGGGAGGGAACAGCGCAGACCCCTCTGCTCTGGGGAGTCCCAGGCGTGCATTAGGGGACTCCCAGGGATTGTCTACACCAGGCTGGGCCCGCTCCCCAATCTCTGGGTCATTTATATTCAAAATAAAAGGTAATATCCTTTACAACGAAATGACGGCTCAGACCTTGGAAGATGCCGCACAGTGGTGAGACTCAAACACTGTCGGACAAACTACATCGTCCGGACTAACGGCCGGATGGCTCTATCGGGTGCCGGGAGAGCCCCTGCCAGCCTCAGTGCCCGGGACCTGAGATGCACTCCGCATGCCTGAGGTCACTGGCAACTGATGACTCTGTGATTCTAGAAGCTTCTCTAGCACTTTCCTACTTGTCTCTTGGCCAGACGGCAGACTGCTTGGGCAGGGACTAGAGCCCCTCCCTCCTTGCCCTGCTCTGCACCTGGTCAGTGCAGCGACCCCCACTCCATGGTGGACATCGACCCAGCGTGGGGCGCAGCGCACAGCCCTCAGTGACGCCCTAAGGTCACACCGTCTCACTCAGCCACAGTGTGGTCTGCACCTTGGAGACGCTTCCTCGTGGCCCCTACAGATGGGTCTGAGGCAGCACGTGGGGGAGGTGTCTCATAGCACCACACTCTGCGGTCTCCTTCCTGTGTGTTCTCACCACCCCCTGCAGGGAGTGGTCGGAGCATCCCGGCCTGACAGAGGTCAGGATGCGGACAAGGAGAGGTCAGGTGGGCCCAGGCCCAAAGATGCCCGGAAAGGCCCTGGATGACACCTCACAATCGACATGGTGGGTACACCAAGTCTCTGCTACAAAAAAGCAGAGATTTATGGAGAGATGAGCGAGCCAAGGAGCATGGAACAGAGACGCGGAACAGCAGCACGCAGCCTTCCTAGGAATGGTGGGACTGAGGAATGCAGGGTGCCCTGCACTAGGGACAGAACAAGTGGCCTTGGAGCTAGTCTTTGGAGCCAAGAGAGAGAATGAGCCTGGAGGAGGCCTATGAGGAGTGGAGGGAGCCCGGAGGAACAGCCACTACCCTCCACCCAAGCTCCACACACACCATCCACCCCACCTCCACCCCACCATCCGCCCCACCTCCTGCCACACCATCTACCCCACCACCCACCCCACCTTCTGCCACACCATCTACCCCACCTCTGCACCACTATCTGCCCCACCATCTGCCCCACCTCCTGCCACATCATCCACCCCACCATCCGCCCCACCATCCTCCCCACCTCCACTCCAGCTCCACCCCAGCTATATTTCAATTCCATCCCACCATCCACCCCACCTCCACCCCAGCAACATCCCCACCTCCACCCCAGCTCCACAGCAACACCTTCAGTGGATCATCCAGCAGAAGAAACTCTAGCCCTTTCCCAACACAGCTGAGCTCTGTGAGGTGCGCCATGTGGGCACCCATGTAACACTGGTGGAAAGAGTTTCACCAAGGGTCTGACGGAACAAAGCCCCCCTCCACACACTCACCTCTGCCTGGGAGAGACCACATGTGGGGCATGAACCTATTACATGACCTGTACTTTCCCCCCAAAAATCAACATAGTACGTGTTAGATTATTTGACCAGTGACCCAGATCACCGATTTATAGAAGATTAAAGCTGGGATAAGCACTAAAGACCAAGTAGGCAAACAGCTTTACTTTATGGAATACAAATCTCAGGCCCAGAGAGGAAAAGCCACTTCCCTGGATCCCATAAACCCAGGCTCTGTGACTTCCTGTCCTCTCTCCCCATGAGCATGGGGAGAAACATTTTTAGGTCCTGGAAACCTCTTAGCACTTTTGGGTCATGGAAATCTCTCTTATTTGCAACTTCTGTGAAGACTGTCCTGCATCGTTGCCGAGAGTTAATACTGCTTCCCTAGAAACCCAAAATATTGCCCTGGGACCTTCTTCAAAGGAACCCAGGGTAGTGCCAACACACTTGTCTCTGTGGTTCTCAGACACACATAAGGGGGCACGCGCCCCACATTGCTGCCACCCCTTCTCTTCCTTTATCTCCATCTCACGATCACATCAGAAACTAGGACCTTCTGTCCACTGTATGGCACAATTACAGCATCTCCATCTACTCACTCCGTGCCCTGAGCCACCTGGACAGTGTCCTGTAGAAGTGCTCCAGGTGCCCCAAGGTGACATGTCTATCAAACAACCCATCAGGCTGCTTCCCCAACCTCTGCCCTCCCAGAGCCCTTGGCTTCTGAAAACCACCCCTTACACACCCAGCACCATCAGCCACAGTCCCATGCACCTGCCCTCCTCCTCACCTGGGTCTCTGCACATCCACCCACTGCAGCCCCATGCACCTGTCCTCCCACTCACCTACTCTCTCCTTGTTCCTGGCCTTCCAGTCCATCTTCCTCAGGTTGCACAGGGCATGTTCTTTCTCAGCACTAGTCAGATCATCTCATTTTATCCACTTTTTCTGGGTCCTGTCACTGGCTATGGGTTGCTCAGGTGGCTCTTCTCTACCTGCCGGGCACTCCTCACCTGGGCTGTGCCCCTGAGCACTGCAGGTGGGGCAGGCTCCCTTCAGGTCCTGAAGGCACAGAGGTCCCTTCCGCCAGGCCTTTGCCCACAGGTGGTCATTCCCTTCCAAGTACTACTGGCTGTGTGTTTGTGCCTGATGCCACGTGGGGAGTCACAGTGAGCATTTCTGGGATGCAAGTGGGCTGCTCCTCTCTGCCGGACACCTCCTCATGGCCTTCAGATGTCTACTTCTAGAAGCTTCCGGTCCCCAGGTAGTTGGGGTGCTTCCTCTTTCATGTCCCCTAGTGCCTGACACACTGCCTGCCCACACCCTTTTCTGTCTTTTCCCAATAACTGGCAGTTTTAAGCAGGGGCCGTGTGTCTCACAGGGATGCCCAGTTCCCAGGGCAAGGTGGCTGCAGCAGGTGCCCAGTGGGCCTGAGCTGTGACCAAACCAGGGAACAAACGGTGTCTGCAGATGTGCAGAGAGCGCACTCCTGCTCCCATGTCCACGTGAGTGGACAGCTCAGGCAGGCCTCTGACTTCAGCCCTCAGTGTTTCACTCCACGTTTGCTAATCTGCCTTTCAAACCCATCTCCAAACCCAGGCACTCCCCAGGGAGCACCTCTGCCCTCAGCATCCAGCTCTCGGGTTCCATCAACACGTCTCCAAGTGTCACCCATGCACACTCCCTTTCTCAGTGACAACACACATTTCAGGATGTAGGAAGGAGGCCACCCTTCCCCTCATGTGTGCTCACACACCAGCCCCCTGCACCCACGACTCTCTAACCCCGGTTTCCAGTGAGACCGGGGATGCTCTGTGCCGTGGGCAAGTTGGTGGCTGAGGTCCCAAAGCCAGCTCCCACCCCGGGAAACAGCAGAGTGTTTCCTGACAGCCCGTCATGGGGCTGCGTACACGGCAGGTGCACAATAAGTATCAACTGAGTGTCTGTGGTGTGGGCCGTCCAGAGGTTCTCACTCATTCACAGCAGGGCTGGGCACAGAATGTTCCAGAGCCTCCAGGTGATTCTAGTGCCCCAGGGTGAGAACCTTGGCCTCAGCAACTGTCGTCGTACATTTAAACGCAGGCTCAGCTGCACCGAATAACCCCCAAAGCCCACCGGAGTTCTCCTGTCTTCTGTCCTAAACAGTCCACTCTGGGGCCATTCAGGAGAGCCCCGGGCACCCAGCTCTGCCCCTCAGGAACTGTCTGGGCCCAAGTGTGGCCGAGGTACTTACCCGGTGTAGGTTAAGGCGCCAGCCGGCAGGTGCAGTAGGTGGGCGAGGTCCTCCATCAGCTGCCTCCCCTTCTCCGGGCTCAAGGGGCTGTGGAGGGACGGCAAGGGGGGCAGCCACATTACCAAACAGAACCATCAGTCCCAAGAGCTAATAGCCCCCCGGAGGCCCCCACCCACTCCCTTGCCCGAGACACGCACACGCGCACACACACGTGCACACATGCACGGGGCACAGCTGCTTCCTGGCCGTGATGAATCACCTGAATTTCCAGCAGTAAGAAAACAACAAGGTGCGAATGGAGATGCTGGGCAGAGTGAGGCCCTCAAGCCAGCGGCTCAGCCTCGGGTGGAGTAGGGTGAGGAAAGGGAGGCAGAGGGAGGACGGGACAGGGACACGCTGGCTCTGCCAGGGCTGTCAGACCACAGAGCACAGCTATTCTACGTGGCTTCACTTCAGAGTGGGCTGCGCCAGTGGAAGGAGATGCAGACACTGAGCACACGGGCGCACAGGAAGCGAGGTGCACGCCCGCCAGCGCGGCTCTGTGAACAAGGCAGGAGAACCCGGCCTGGCTCCGTGGCCACCGACGTCCCACAAGGCCCCCTGGCCACCGGCTCTTCCGTCAAGGGGCAGCGATCGGTGCCCAGGCGTAATCTGAAGTTCCAAGTACAAATCCTGAATTGCAGAATTCGGTTGCGTAAACCCCCAGTTGTCTGTGGAGCTGTTAGGACCACTTCAAGAAACACAGAATCACAGTGCTGTACACGAGCCGTGTCGCAGGCAGAGGCTTTCAACCCAGCGCAGCACACGCGTTCACTCCTCGTTCGCGGGGGTTTGGGACCTGTGGGCACCGCATCCTCCGGGAAGCAGAAAGACCGGGCCCTGCCTTCGTGGGCTCACACTCCAGTGGGGGACACACCAGCCAAGACGCCAACGTACAACAATGGACCAGACCAGTGCGAGAATGGACAGATCCCGACACGTCCCTGTGCCGCTCGGGCCCTCCCCGTGGTCGCGGGCTCGCCTGGGGCCCCGACTCCTGAGCAGGTCCACGGGGACCACGTGGCGATTCTCGCCTGGGGAAGCCTCCTCCCGACACCCCCAGACCCACTGGCACGTACACCACATGCACGATACACACCCACCACACCACACGCACCACACACAACACACATGAAACATACCACACACCACACACACATTGTACACACAGCACAACATACATCACACACACAATACACGCCACATATACAACACAACACTCACACACACCACACAACACAGCACACCAAACACCATATCCCACACACACATTACACAACATATGCAATATACTGCATACCACGCACACCAAACACACACCACATATCGCATACTACACACACCACATACACACATCACACACACAATACCACACAACATACAACACATATACAAGTCACATAACACATCACAGACCACACAATAGACCAAATGCCACACACGTATTACACACACCAGATATACAACACACCACATACAGATGCCACATACACAACAAACCACACAACATACCAACCACACACGACACACACACCACACACATGCAGAGCAACGTTCACCAGGGAAGGGAGAAACACACCACACGGGGTGTTTGGAGAGTTACAGTCAGGGATAGGTTGTTGTGACGGTGGCGTCACAGAGTCATCGAGCAGGGACCCGCCTCGGCTTCGACGGCGCAGAAACGCAGCCCCCACGGGACCTGTCGGTGCCTGTTTGCACCTCTCTGCAGGTGCGGCAGTGAAGACATAGGCGCCCGCCAGGAGCTCCTGGTTCCAGGGACGGGAGCTCGAGGACAGAGACATGGAGTTTTGTCTGCGCACAGCGGCTGGAAATGGGGGGCTTGTCTTAATAAACACGGGACCTCCCGAGAAACAGCCGGTGTTCTGGTGTGAGCCTGAAGTTTCAGCTGCTCATAAATTACCTAAAAATACCACTAAGACCAACGTGCAGCTGGAAATAGTCTTAAAGTTTAATTTGGCCGTAATACTCTGTGGCTTGAGCACAACATGAAATATTCCTGCCCCACTGCGGTGTGCAGCTGCGCCTCAGTGGGGAACCGTGGCTGCGGCGTGGCAAAAACGTGCCAGGCCGAGCGTGGACAACCAGCAGGAGGGAGGTTCTGGCTCCTTCCTCCACTGCGAACAGGCGTCGCGACGTGATGGGCTCCTGCGCTAGGGAGGAAGTACCTAACAAATGCATGTTATTGCTGAGAAGCTGCGTTATTATACGTATGCGCATACACATACACCTGCACAACACACGCGTACATGTACACGTACACACACACACACACACACACGGGTGCGTGTGCCGCCAGCCAGATGCATTCTTCTCTTGGAATCGCTGCTCCCGCTACTTGACGAAAACACAAAACTTATACAAAACAAAGCATCAGATGTCAGGTTCATAGGGAGACGGCCTGGGAGAGGGCGGCCACCTGTCACCCGCTGGCCTGGGAGGGCTGAATTCTCCCCTCGTGAAGCTCAGATCCAGACAGAGGGAGCAACATGCTGCCGCCGGGCGGCCGGCCTCGCTGAGGTGCCCCCATCCCTGATGCCTGTACGGCTGCGATGAGACCCAGGCACGAGGCCAGCACGCAGCAGGTCCGGCCGAGCCCCACCTGGCACGCACGGTCCCTCGCTCCTGCGCAGCCCTCCACACCCGCAGCCCTGAAGGGACTCAGACCTGCCAGCGAGGACCTGCTGCCGCGGGCGACCAGCAAGGGCTCTGCTTGGTTGGTTTGTTTAATCTGCGCCAGAGAACTGCCCTCGACCCCAGGGCCCAGCCCGGGAGCCCTAGGGGTGTCTGCAGCTGGCGCCTGGCTACCCCCCAACACAAGATTGTGGGGCCTCCTGCACTCAGTTCTCTTGGCTAAAGGCGTTTAAACATGAAAGCATCCCCTGCGTCAGCGAGGCCCCACCCACGGCCTGCCAGGACCCCTACTCACTCGTGGTCTGTCACGACGTAGCCGTATTCCTCCTCCTCCTCCCCAGAGGCCTTGACCTGCAGCTGCAGGGCGTCGCCGGGGGGCTGCTGCGCTCCTGCGTGAAGGCTGTCATCCCACAGGGCCCCCTGGGTCCTGCTCTGGAGCTGCCCAAACCCCTCGGCTGCGGGCTCCAGATCTGGCTTCCTCTCCGACAGGTCTCTGGAGTACGTCTGACTCCGGACGTTTTCCACGCCCGCGTCCTCCTCTTCCGAAGACACGGGAGCTGCAGGGTGCGCCGACTTCTTCATCTCTGCTGGGAAGGGCTCGGCGAGGCCGGGGGCATCAGGCAGTGGTTGAGACCCAGGGTCCTGCAAGAGGTCCCCAAGGGTGGCGCTCAAACGAGTGACCTGCAGAAAGGACACCCCTGTGAGAGGACGTCTGCGAGCGGACGGGACACACAGCACCAAAGGGACCCTGGCAACAAAGTCACCCCCTGTGGGATGACGTTGGCGACCTGAAACGAAGCACCGGGTGAGGGTCCAGCTTTCCCAGTCTGTGCTCAGAGCTACGTCCAGATGAGCAACCGAATGTAGGACACGTGTGTGTCGGAATCGCTCAGAGAGCGTTCTCTCCCCCGCCCCCAACACGTCCATACACGCACACACAGCACACACGGCACACATACATGCACGCACCACACATACATAAGCATACACGTACACTTCACACATGCACACATACATGCATGCACATGCTACACACACACCCACACCCCTTTCTGAAGAATCTGACTTCATAGAGTCAGCGTCAGTCTTCAGCTTTGATAGTTTAAAAAGTAACCTGTGTGATCGCAAGACCGCACTCCCCCCCAGAGGCGGCGAACACCTAATTCCAATAACCAATAATGATTAATACTAACGATTTGCATGTATTGCGCTCTGGCACTACAGACAAGGCTCTGTGCTGAGACCTCACACGCAGAAACACGCTGAATCTCCCCGGCAACCTGAGAGCCGCAAACACTCACGGACCCCATTTCACAGGTGGGAAAGTTGAGGCACAAAGAGATTAACCCACAAGTGAGCTTGTCACAGGGACGTGCAACTGTGTTCTCGCCACATCTGGGGGTCTTTTGTCGTTGTGGCTAATGCCTGCCCCACCCCGACTTCACTTCCTGGATGAGGAGCCTCAGAACCACTCAAGGAGCACCCAGGCTGGGAAGTAAACTCACAGTGACAACTCTCAGCACTGACTACGTGTGAGACACGAGTTTGCTTTGTGCAAATTGTCTCATTTAATCATCACCCAGCCCCGCGAATGCTGTCCTGGTCTCGTCTCTAATTTGTGGACTCTGGGCTCACGGAGGTTAAGTATTAAACAATTTTACCAGATCTCAGAGGTCGTGACTGGCACTGGCTTGAGCTCAGGTCTAAGGGACGGCAACGATGCCGTCTCGTTCCTGGGCTGCGACCACAGCTTCCCTGAGAAGGATGGCAGCTCCAGGGCACCTCCGCGACACGATCGCAAGAGGCTTGTGTCCACACAGTGGGGTGATTTTTAACTTTGGAATTTCAGGTACGCCATCACATTAGACACAAACAGGGAACCTTGATTTACTTCATGACTCACTTTACCAAAACGCATCGTCAGGAAATTAAGGAAGGACTAAAAAGAAAAACGCTCCCTTTTTAACTAAAAGTCACAACTTTTACTTTTGTGTTTCTGAATAAACAAAATCGCAATTTGACGGAAACAACTGCTCAGATTTGGATCCTGAATGACTGCAGTGCACAGCAGTTAAGTCACTGAGTAGGGACAGGAGGAGGAATGACATTCTCACTTAGAGTGTTTCAAGTGAGAAAGAAAAGGAAGATACTATTAAATAAATAAGAGCTCAAAATTATGACACCCAATACCCTTTTTGAAAAACATTGCTTGAAACTATACCAAAAACAACGGAAGTAAATCAAAATTCAGGGCAGCGAGGATGGACGCTTGTGCTGTCGAAGTCCTAGGCAGTCTCCGCCCCACGGCGGACGCAGGACCGCAGCCCGGCCTTGATACCTGCGCCCCTGCAGGTAACGGGGAGGGCAGGGCGGGCTGCTGCCCTCGGCCACGGCCGGTGTCCCCCCGGCCCCGTCAGGAAACGTGCTGCTCAACCACGCTTCTCCCGCCACGACTCAGAGCATCCTGCCACGTTTGGTGGACACTGAGAACAACAGTTGCTGACGTGTTCTTCCAGTTCTTGCTAACAGACATTAAACCACAAACCACTGAAATAACCTGTCAAGAGAATTACTAACC